ACTGAAAAATACCCAATATTTTGTTCACATTAAAGCTTGAAAACAACGGCTTAGTCTACATCGTGATATGATTGTTTGCTACTTACACGATGTACTCAGGGTGGGCCTAATAAAGCTGTAGCCGACGTTTCCCAGATGAATGGAACCTCCTCAGCAACATCTCTTTCCACTCATTCTTGCATTTTTTTGTCAGGTCCTTCTCGAAACCAAGTTGGATTAAATTTGCTTTCCGAGTGTGAGACATGCTCCTTCGGTGCTCACTGAAAACGTTTTTCAGTGTGGAAAAAGAGTTCTCACATAAAGCTGTCGAAGCTCCAAAGGTAAGTGAAACCTTAAATGCGGTGAGAACACTTGGCATTGCCTCAAGCGTCGTGTGGAGATGACCAAGTATGTTTTTCAATGTCCATTTCCCATTCTCTGGTGGTGTGATGCTGTCCACGTGTTTCAGAATCAGCTTTTTGGCCACAATGAACTCAGCATCAACGAGCGTGGTTCCAGTCAGTTTAAGCAAAGGTTCCACTTTTTCGGGCTCCAGGAAGAAGCTGCTTTCCGGGTTGAGTGAAGCAATAGCCTCCATGAATGCGCTGTTTCGCTCTCCAAAGCGGCGCGCAATTTCTCCCGTAACTGCATCAATGCAGCTGTAAAACAGCCGCCGTTTCTCTGTCATCTGGTGGTTTTCTTGTGTTCCCACTCCCACTGTCTCTTCAACAACATAATCCTCCAAAGTTGTGTTAAGAGTTCGCCTTCTCTTGGTGGGACCGGGATGGATAGTATCATCCGCTCTCTCCTGTGCGCACTCACTCCACATCTCCGTGAACACCTTTTCGGTGCGCAGGGCCTCAACACACTCTTTGGCAGTGTTGACAAGCTGTACTGCCGTTTGAAGGTCCATTTCCTCTGACTGCATCATCCTGTTAGCTGGCTCAAGCAGGGACAATATCTTGCATATTATCTGGGTGTGGAATTTAAAGCTTGGCTTTAAAATTCTGCTCAGCAAGCCTGCTGCCTCCATCCTCAAGTCAGCTGGAAATGATGCAGAGTTTTCAACGTGTCGTAGTAGTTCCACTATATCCTGAAAAGATTTCAGAATAATCTGAACAGTGGCCAGGTGCCCTGTCCAGCGCTGTTCGAGTAAACGCTTCAGCGTGTTTCCCTGGTAATGTGCAGCAATGGTGGGCTTTCGTGTGAACTTGTAGAGGACATTACAGATGTTGAATAAATCCTCAATCGCTCTCTCACCGGACATGGCGTGAACAACGACCAAGTGCAGCTGGTGGTTGAAGCAGTGCACATATGGGATTTCTCTGCCCAGTTCATCTTGAAGGAGTCTTTGAACCCCACCGTGTCTCCCCGACATAAGACTTGCTCCATCGTATACCTGGCTGAGAATTGTGTCTGTGCTCAGGCCAGCTTTGCGTATTTCATCAATGAGTGTCGTGTGAGGGTTTTTGCATCACCTGCAACTGCTGTGGCGATTGTCAAGAGCCTCTCTTTTATGACATAGTTCTCATCAACAAAACGCAGTACAATTGAAATGTTTTCACAGCCTGTTGGGTCTCGGGTTCCATCCATTTTGACAGTGTAAAAGGAGTCGCCTATTTCCTCAACAATATGCTCCGTTACAACTTTGCTCATCAGGTCAATTATTTCGTTTTGTATATCATGGCTTATGTAGGTAGCATTTTTGGGAATGGTGGGGGCAATTTTCGCGAGTTCTGGGTCCTTTTCGATGGTATACTCAAACAATGACAAAAATAACCCACTGCCAGACTTGGACATACACTCTAAAGAGTCGTGGTCACCTCGGAAAGGAAGATTGCTGGTAGAGAGAAAAGTCACAATGTCAATAATGGAGCCCACGTAATATTTGTTACGAGCCAGCTGATCTTTGTTGACAAGAGTTGTGATTTCCTGACCAGTCTCGATGCGCATTTGTTTTTCTCTCCACAATTTCTCACAGACTAAATGTTCCTTGGAAGAGCTGTGTTTGCTAAGACCCGTGCCCTTTTGTAAGGCATGCTTCCAGTCTTTGAAGCCTTTTATGGTGAACGATGCGTCATGATGATGAGCCTTAAACTTTCTGCATGGGAAACAGTACGCAGCATCGCCTTTTACGGAGTATTCAAGCCAGGGTCGGTTTTGGTACCATGAGCTGGCAAAACTACGTTTTTTCCCGGAGAAGAGCCGAGAGGGGAAACTATCCAGGACTACCTGTTTTGGTGTATCCACGCCAAGGTCCTCTGGAACTAGAAAACTAAAATCTCCAAGATCACGAGCGTTTAGAATGGGAGCTGGGCCTGGGCTGCTAAAGGTTGAACTGCTGCTCCTGCCCGGCCCCGAAGAGGCTTCGTCTGACAACGTTGACTCGGGACCTGGTGGTGGAGAAGGAATAGGTGGCGGGAGACACGTCAAGTTGCCAGCATCTGGTGCTGAGTTGTCAGTGCCACAATCCTTTTGTGAGCTCTTATTGTTCGTGAACCACTTCCTAATATCCATTGTTGCCGATACATATAAAAAAGGATAATAGCCTAGCCAAACTAACCGCCACAGTAAACTGACAGGCTGCTGTGACGCGTCTCATTTAAAAAAAAAAACACACACAACTCAACCCCGCGAAAAACCAGTCTCGCGCACAGAGATTCATTCAGAATTTCATAGCAAAATAAAAAAATTATATTATACTAATGTTTCAACATAGTTTAATACAAAAATAAATGGTATGACAAAGCCCTACAAATAACAACAATAAACATAATAATACAAACATTTAAAAAATATTTTTATATAATTTTTTTTAATCAGCCCTGATTTCTCATGGGCGGGCCCAAATCCTGAATGGGCGGGCCCGGCCCCATGGGGCCCGCCCATGACGCCGGCCCTGAGCACCGTAACGTTCATGATATCATTTCTCGGTCCTAATCGGTTGTTTCCGTGACTGTTGTGATGGCAAATGCTGCGGCTGCAATGCATTGTGGGAAAGCATTTTCTCCTCTCCTTTCGGTGATGGAGGTCCAGTGGTCCCTAAGCTAAAGCAGGTTATAAAGGAAGTTTGAAACCTCCTTTCCTATCATTCTAGAGAATTGGAACGGCACTTATCATGGCTGCCACTGAGGGACTTCCGGGTTATTTCACTCCGTTAGGAAGGTTCCTAAGCTAAATGGACTATTCAACTTCAGCCCAAGTCTTAGACAGTGAGAGGGAGGGGCTTGATCGGGTTTTGTCCCACATGGCTCAAAACGTCTCAATAGGCACACACTGTAGACACTAATTAGAGGAACACAGACTAAAACAGCAATGTACAGACGAATCAGATGATTAAACATGATCTTAAAATATATTTTATATATATATATTTTTTTTGGTAATCATTATTTTTAATACTTTCTGCTGAGGCTGTGCCCCACCTGCTCCTAATGGCCAGTCGCCACTGGGCGCAACTATGCACTTATGCGGCGCAATTAGTGTAGGTGCGGCACACATGATTTGATGCATATATGCATCAAATCATGTGTGCCGCACCTACACAGTACACCTATATGTGTGTGCATATATACATGCACACACATATACTCAACACACATACATGCAGAGACACACACACACACACACACACATGCACAAACCAGACGTGTTGAATGTGTGTCAACGCAGCCCCCTGCAGTTGTTCTGGGGTACTGCACCAGCTCATGAATATTCACACTGTGGAAGGAATCAATGTGTGTGTAAGTATGTGTGTAACCAGTGTGTGTGTGTGTGTGTGTGTGTGTGTGTGTGTGTGTGTGTGTGTGTGTCTGTGTTCATGTGTGTTTCTGAAGGTAAATGTCTGTCTGTTTGTGTGTGTGTGTGTGTGTGTGTGTGTGTGTGTGTGTGTGTGTGTGTGTGTGTGTGTGTGTGTGTGTCTGAGTGTGTGTATGTGTGTGTCTGTGTGTTTGTCTTTGTGGGACCGCTCTAACCACTGAGCAGAGGCATGGAAGCAAGTTTTAAGTGTGATCATGTGAAGAAACATGTTTCCTGAATGAACTGGTGCTTGAGCTCTAAATGAAGTGACTTGTGTTCTCTATATGAACATGCTGATCTCAGATTTAGTAAATGGTCAAATGGCTCCAGAGAGAGATCACTGAAGTGTTTCTGAGGTGATAGAAAACTGTACAAATCAACCTTGTGATTTCCCCTCAGAACTCCAGGCTGAAGGAGAACACAACTCAACAGGTAAGCTGCCAGTGTTATGACCCCCCCCCCCCCCTTAAAGTGATTAGAAACAACCCGTGGTCATCACATCATGCATCATGTCATTTAAAGACTGCTCCAATAACAGCTCATGACCAAAAGAGAAGCAGGATATTCTTGATATGCAAACTATCATCAGCTTTCCATCACTACTGATTCTAATGAATGATCCGTGAACGAGAGCATCTCTCAGAGTGGCAGTCGCTAAAGGTGGAGATCACTTTAAAGACTGTTCACAGAGCCAGGTATCTGGTTCCATTACACACCACGCACTATCACTACATCCAGCTTTCAATGCCATTTACATTCATGCACACAATGTACACAATATCATGTTTTTATTACTGCACATATTGTATATTTCATTCCAATTATATTTCAATGTGAACACTGCTATACTATACTACATTTCTTTATATTTGTAATGTTATTATAGTTTTCTTAAATAGTTTTCTATCTGTGTTTTGAATTTTAGTTTTACATTTATGTCTGCACCACAACACCAAGTCAAACTCCTCGTAGGTGTCGACCCACCTGGTGATAAACCTGGTTCTGGTTCTGATCTCTTTCCACCTCTGGTTCAGAAAGACCTCCAGTTTGACCAGAATAATGATGTACTCATTTCTCTGGTGCTTTCAGCTGTAACTCCATTGCTTGTATCATCATTTAGCCTTTAGGGGTTCATGATACAACATATTTATTTTAGTATTAATTATTACATTTTACATCTGCTGCAAGCAACTAAAGTACATGACTCTGCTGTTTCTCTTCAGAGCCTGTTTTCAGACTGGTGGGAGGAGAGAGTCGCTGTGCAGGAGCTCTGGAGCTGAACCAGGCGGGAGAATGGAGACCAGTGGGGAGCTCTTCCTCTCTCTGGACCCTGAAGGCAGCAGCAGTCGCCTGCAGAGAGCTCGACTGTGGCTCTCCTGTTTCTGTCGGAGAGAGAAAGAAGTCCTCAAAGAGACCTGTGTGGTGGATCTATCCTCCCTGTCTTCAGTTTGGATCTCGGAGGGAGTGTGCAGAATCACTTTTCTCTTCCAACATCGTGAATCTCACCTGCTCAGGTAAGCCCATCAGTGACACCACCAATGACATCATCTATCACATCTTCTAAAAAGGCTCCAGTAGCTCCCAGTGAAGACAGAAACACTGTTTGTCTCCTAACACCTCTCCATGATGTGTGTATATGAAACATGTCTGCTGCTTCAGGAGTCCGCGGGGCCAACCCGTCTGAAAGGACTCCTGCTTCAGCTCCACCTCTCTGAGCCTCTGGGTCCCACCAGCAGGTTCTCTGGGTTCCACCATAACAGCACCAAGACCTCCTGAACACAGCTTTAGAGGAGAGGAATCTGCATGTTGTATTGTTTGATAACCCGGTAAAGGGTTAACAGATGGATGCTAATTGTTAAGGTACATTCACACCGGACACAATGTGAATCTTAGAGCGTCGTGATTACATGTAAAGTCAACGCAGAGATTACAATTTTTTTTTGTATTATATTATTATAAAGCTACACTTACATGTGTAATTCATGAGAGTTCAATTTGTTCATCTTCTGAGTCAAATTCGCCTGACGCTGTCTCGCGTTAGCCAATCAGCAGTGAGGATCTCAGTCTGACGTCACTGACACTGACGTTGAATCAGGAAACCAGAACATCAGCCGTTAGCCGTTAGCTGTTAGCCGTTAGCCGTTAGCTGTCACAGCTCCTCATATCTGTTCAGAAACTGGAGAAAGTTATAAATATAGAAACCACAGACTGTCTGTGGCATGGAGACCACAGACAGTCTGTGGCATGGAGACCACAGACAGTCTGTGGCATGGAGACCACAGACTGTCTGTGGCATGGAGACCACAGACAGTCTGTGGCATGGAGACCACAGACAGTCTGTGGCATGGAGACCACAGACAGTCTGTGGCATGGAGACCACAGACTGTCTGTGGCATGGAGACCACAGACAGTCTGTGGCATGGAGACCACAGACTGTCTGTGGCATGGAGACCACAGACAGTCTGTGGCATGGAGACCACAGACAGTCTGTGGCATGTAGACCACAGACTGTCTGTGGCATGGAGACCACAGACTGTCTGTGGCATGGAGACCACAGACAGTCTGTGGCATGTAGACCACAGACTGTCTGTGGCATGGAGACCACAGACAGTCTGTGGCATGGAGACCACAGACAGTCTGTGGCATGGAGACCACAGACAGTCTGTGGCATGGAGACCACAGACTGTCTGTGGCATGGAGACCACAGTCTGTCTGTGGCATGGAGACCACAGACAGTCTGTGGCATGGAGACCACAGACTGTCTGTGGCATGGAGACCACAGACTGTCTGTGGCATGGAGACCACAGACAGTCTGTGGCATGGAGACCACAGACTGTCTGTGGCATGGAGACCACAGACAGACTGTGGCATGGAGACCACAGACAGACTGTGGCATGGAGACCACAGACAGTCTGTGGCATGGAGACCACAGTCGCTGCTTTGTTTCTGTCTGTGTGACGTTTTAAAGTGTCTCCTCAGTGTCTGCACACTTGTCAAAGCATGAAGACATGTTAGCAGGTCCGGTGTGAACGCAGCATTAGAGGGTGGTAGATGTAGATGTGAGGGTGACTGCAGTCTGTGCTGATATCAAGAAGTGTTCTGTTGTTCATCATGAACTCATGTTGGAACTGAGTCCAGTTTGAATCTGAAATATAGTTTAATCTCTCTCTTTCTCTCTGTGTTCTCTCCTCTGCAGACTCTGTCAGGCTGCTGGGGGGGACTGAGCTGTGCTCAGGCGGACTGGAGGTGAACTCTGACCCGTCTGACCCGTCCTGGTCCTCAGTGTGTGAGGCTGACTTTGACCAGCAGGATGCTCAGGTGGTCTGCCGGCAGCTGGGCTGTGGGGCTCCTTCAGTCCTCCAGGGGGCGCTCTATGGAGAAGGGGAGGCTCCAATGGGGACCAAAGAGTTCCAGTGTGGAGGCCATGAGTCTGCTCTCCTGGACTGTAGCTCAGCCTCAGAGAGAAGCACCTGCTCACCTGGCACAGCTGTTAGCCTCACCTGCTCAGGTAGATAGGAGCTGTGATTGGTTCATTCTGTTCTCATCAAACTCACTTTATTCTCTCTCTGATCTCTCTCTTGTTTCTCTGCAGAGCCTTATGAGGTCAGACTGGTGGGAGGATCCAGTCGCTGTGCAGGAGACCTGGAGGGGAAACATCAGGGAGAATGGAGACCAGTGAGGTATTACTCTCTAGATCTGGACGCTGTCTCTTCCTGGGAACTGGAGGATGCAGCAGTCGCCTGCAGAGACCTCGACTCTGCTGTTTCTGTGGGAAAGAAAGAGTCCTCAGAGAGACCTGCGTGGGACATCAGCTCTGCCTGTCTTCAGTCTGGATCTCTGAGGGACTGTGCACGATCATCTTCCTCTCGCTACATCGTGACTCTCATCTGCTCAGGTAAGCCCATCAGTCCCATCAAGTCATCTGTCTCTTTGTTTGTTAGAGGCCATTTTTCTAAAGGGAAGGTGAATGTGCTCTCTCTCTCTCCTCTCTCTCTCTCTCTCTCTCTCTCTCTCTCTCTCTCTCTCTCTCTCTCTCTCTCCTCTCTCGCTCTCCTCTCTCTCTCAGTCAGGTTGTGGCATGTTTATACATATTGGGCAGCAAGATGTGCCTTGTCTCCTTCTCCTAGGAAATACTTTCAGTCTTGAGAGGTCATCAACCTCCTTGAAACCTGGGATTACAGAGTTCAACTTGTTCCAGTAAACGCTCCTTACTTCGTTGAATGTTTGGCACTTCAGGAGGAAGTGCATCTCTGTCTCAGTCTCACCTGTCGTACAGTGACCACATATTCTGTTCTCTTTTGGTTGCCAGGATCTTTTGAGTCTTCCTGTTGCCAGTTTGTGGTCACTGAGCCTGTACTTGGTTAGGATCTGTCTCTGCTTTCTATCTCTGACAGTAGAGAGATATTCTGCCAGCTCATACTCTCTTTTTAGAGCCAGGTAACATTCTAATCTGCTTTGGCTTTTAGTTTCTTCTTCCCAATGTTGTAAATAGTTGTCTTTGCATTGTGTTATAATGCGTTTGACTGTGATTGGTGTTTGGAGAGCAGTGTTGTTGAGTGACTGGTCAGAGTGGCTCTGAGAGGGGGCAGCTAGCCTCAGCACCAGCTGACATAGGGGACTCTTCTCTGGGGTTAGCTCTTGGCTTTGGAGTGGAGGGTGTCTCGGGGGCTGGATCTAAGGTGGTTAAAGAATGCCAGTGCTCTCTTTTGAGTGTTAATGATCAGTGGGTATCTGCCTAATTCTGCTCTACATGCATTTGTTGGTGTTTTTCTCTGAACACGTAAAATATATCTGCAGAATTCTGCATGTAAAGACTCTGTTGGATGTTTGTCCCAGCGGGTATAGCTCTGGTGACTGAGTGGACCCCATACTTCACTACCGTACAGCGCAATGGGCTGGATCACACTATCAAAGATTTTGAGCCAGATTTTAATTGGAATTTGGACATTATAAAATGTTCTCTTAATTGCATTTAGAGCTCTTCTGGCTTTTTCACATTTTTCTTCTCCAATAAATTGATGTTTTCAAAGGCAATGAATAATCGCATTTAATAATCGCAATTACAATTATTGACCCAAATAATCGAGATTATGATTTTTGCCATAATCGAGCAGCCCTACCTGAGAGTTTAAAGAACACATTTATTTGGTTGTGGTCTCTTTCTCTCTCTCCAGACCTGCTGCTTCAGCCCAGCATCTCTGGGTCCTCCTCCATGTACGGGGTCTCCGGGGCCCAGCAGCAGGGGTTCCAGGCGTTCAGAGGCTCCAACTTCAGCATCAGCTGCTCCATCCAGCCTCAGTACCCAGGGGGCTCCTTCCTGCTCAGCTCCTCCACTGACAACTACACCCAGCCAGCTGTCAATCACAGCGCCCACTTCCTGTTCCCGGCTGCAGAACCCGCCCACCAGGTAACCAACAGCTGTGTTTATCACCTCTTTGTTTTTTCTCATAACTTCTCCTCTGAGAGCCGTCTGCTGTCCGTCACTCTCTCAGGTAAGCTCAGTGTTCACCTGTCTGTCTCTCACCTGTCTGTCTGTCTGTCTGTCTGTCACTGTCTCAGGTAAGCTCAGTGTTCACCTGTCTGTCTCTCACCTGTCTGTCTGTCTGTCTGTCACTGTCTCAGGTAAGCTCAGTGTTCACCTGTCTGTCACTCACCTGTCTGTCTCTCACCTGTCTGTCTCTCACCCGTCTGGCACTGTCTCAGGTGAGCTGTTACAGTTTATATGTAAGGGATAATGTGCAGCGAGGCGGTCATTCTGGGTGAAAGAACAGGCAGATCAGGATCTTGATCAGCCTGTTCTTTCAAGGGGGTCTTCATGAGGACCAAGTCGCTGCACATTATCCCGCTTATCACACGGCCACATTCTCAACAAAGTAACGACATGACTCCCAGTATTAATTGAAATGCTTTTATTGATTTAGAAAATGTTTTTATTGATTTAAATGTGTATTATTGATTTAAATTGACATGCATCCGCTAAGAAAAATAGTCCGTTGTTACTGTTTGAACTAACGTAGCAACGGCAGGAACTGCTTCGACAGCGTTTTTGAGGAGCTTTTTGATTACAGATTTGAAAACATCGTTGCTTGCTTTAAAAGTAGCACAATTCATTATGTTCAACCTTGGAGAGTATCTAGATATCCCTGCCCTAATGCCAAAGTAACTGCACACTGAATATGTGTCGCCGTTTGATGTCAGGACCGTTGAGTAAAAAGGACCGAAGCCCCGTGTTGAGGGTTTCTGCCCCGTAGCTGATCAGCCAGTCTTTAAATAGTTCCATAGCCCATAATGTGGTCCGTCTTTTCGCCTCTCTTACTTCTCCTGCGGTTTTCTTGTCCCTCTTGTCTTTTTCTTTTCTTCGCTGGGGACTCATCAGCCACTAACCATTCATCCAAATGACTGTGCTCTCCAAATATATTAAAATTAATATTAAAATCCTCCATGTTGCTCTCAGACGGGAGACAACGGAAAACTAAAGACAAGCAAACTGTATACAGTTCAATGGACCGGACTTCTTTCTGCAGATGTGAGCGTCCTTAACAACGGTCAATAAGTCCTTGACAGCGATCTGTACTACTGGATTAACAACGTGTCATGTACTCTGAATTGACCAATCAGAATTGAGTATTCAACTAAGCCATGTAATACGGCTATATAAAGTATATAGAACCTGGATCAGAACCTCTCCTCCAGTCGGGGTTTAAGTCTAGCTTACATTAGAGTCTGGACCTGAGTACTGACTGCTGGATGTAAGAGATACAGCAGCTTCTCCTACGGTCTGGAAACATGTCAGGCCACATATTAAAGTCTCACCAGAGGTCAAATCAGAGAGAGAGGAGTCTCCATGCTAAAGTGGCTTCAGGGTTCAGGTCTCTACAGAGTTTTTGCTGACTCTTGATGTGATGCTGTCCAGGTGTTCCATCAGATCCAGGTCCTTTTATCATCCGAGCCGTCGTCCTGCCGCTGACTCTTCTGCTGGTGACCGTCGGACTTTACTTCTACTGTAAGGTACTGAAACATGTTGTTGATCCACCACTGACTGAATGATGAGGTACTGAAATATGTTGTTGTTCCACTGACTGAATGATGAGGTACTGAAACATGTTGTTGATCCACCACTGACTGAATGATGAGGTACTGAAACATGTTGTTGATCCATCACTGACTGAATGATGAGGTACTGAAACATGTTGTTGATCCACCACTGACTGAATGATGAGGTACTGAAACATGTTGTTGATCCATCACTGACTGAATGATGAGGTACTGAAACATGTTGTTGATCCACCACTGACTGAATGATGAGGTACTGAAACATGTTGTTGTTCCACTGACTGAATGATGAGGTACTGAAACATGTTGTTGATCCACCACTGACTGAATGATGAGGTACTGAAACATGTTGTTGATCCACCACTGACTGAATGATGAGGTACTGAAACATGTTGTTGATCCACTGACTGAATGATGAGGGACTGAAACATGTTGTTGTTCCACTGACTGAATGATGAGGTACTGAAACATGTTGTTGATCCACTGACTGAATGATGAGGTACTGAAACATGTTGTTGTTCCACTGACTGAATGATGAGGTACTGAAACATGTTGTTGATCCACCACTGACTGAATGATGAGGTACTGAAACATGTTGTTGATCCACCACTGACTGAATGATGAGGTACTGAAACAGGTTGTTGTTCCACTGACTGAATGATGAGGTACTGAAACATGTTGTTGTTCCACTGACTGAATGATGAGGTACTGAAACATGTTGTTGTTCCACTGACTGAATGATGAGGGACTGAAACATGTTGTTGTTCCACTGACTGAATGATGAGGTACTGAAACATGTTGTTGATCCACCACTGACTGAATGATGAGGTACTGAAACATGTTGTTGTTCCACTGACTGAATGATGAGGTACTGAAACATGTTGTTGTTCCACTGACTGAATGATGAGGTACTGAAACATGTTATGATCCACTGACTGAATGATGAGGTACTGAAACATGTTGTTGTTCCACTGACTGAATGATGAGGGACTGAAACATGTTGTTGTTCCACTGACTGAATGAAACAGTGTGTGTTATTGAACAGGAGTGATGACGTCTCACTGTGTGCTGTCATGTCTCTCCAGGCCACCAGGGGGCGGAGGCCGAGCCGACAGGAGGACATTGAGCTGGATTATTATAACTTGGGTGTTCCTGCTGAAGAGGAAGGAGCTCAGGGAGCAGAGTAGCACCTCCAAAGACACACATACGCACACACACACACACACACACACACACACACACACACACACACACACACACACACACACACACACACACACACACACACACACACACACACACTTATATAACCAAAGCAGGCTAGATTTCTTATATCACATTAAAAAGATAGCGTATTTTTCTCAATATCAAAGTCAACTTTATTCTCAAGAATTCCACATGTGTTATACATACAGAAAATTAGAAATACCGTTTCTCGCAGTCCCACAGTGTGACATACATATAACAAGTTACAAAAAAGGGCCTAAATATAAGTTGTATAAAAACTAAGTAATAAATAGTAATAAGTACGTTTAAGTACTAAGTTATAAATATATTTTAAAAAAAACATACAATGAGCAGAAACAGGAATGTGACATTGGTGCAAGTATTCCTTAAAACAAAAAACAAAAATGATGGAAGGAAGTACAGTTCAGCAGCAGAGATGAGTAGACAAGTGACTGGTGCTGGATGAGAGAAGGGTGTGTGTGTGTGTGTGTGTGTGTGTGTGTGTGTGTGTGTGTGTGTGTGTGTGTGTGTGTGTGTGTGTGTGTGTGTGTGGTGTGTGTGTGTGTGTGTGTGTGTGTGTGTGTGTGTGTGTGTGTGTGTGTGTGTGTGTGTGTGTGTGTGCGTGTGTGTGTGTGTGGGGGGGGGGGAGAGGGAGAAGAGGGAGAGAGGGAGGGGAGAGAGTTCAGCATCCTGACAGCCTGGGGGAAGGAGCTGCTCCTCAGCCTGGGGGAAGGAGCTGCTCCTCAGCCTGGTGGAGGAAGCTGCTCCTCAGCCTGGTGGAAGGAGCTGCTCCTCAGCCTGGTGGAAGGAGCTGCTCCTCAGCCTGGAGGAAGGAGCTGCTCCTCAGCCTGGTGGAAGGAGCTGCTCCTCAGCCTGGTGGAGGAAGCTGCTCCTCAGCCTGGTGGAAGGAGCTGCTCCTCAGCCTGGTGGAGGAAGCTGCTCCTCAGCCTGGTGGAAGGAGCTGCTCCTCAGCCTGGTGGAGGAAGCTGCTCCTCAGCCTGGTGGAAGGAGCTGCTCCTCAGCCTGGTGGAAGGAGCTGCTCCTCAGCCTGATGGAGGAGCTGCTCCTCAGCCTGATGGAGGAGCTGCTCCTCAGCCTGATGAAGGAGCTGCTCCTCATCCTGGTGGAGGAGCTGGTGGTGCTCGGCCTCAGGCTGGAGTCACCCACAATGCTGAGTGCTTTGCGGGTGAGGCGGGTGTTGAAATGAAAAAACCACACCATCAATATGTCTTTTCTGACTTCCTGTCAGCTCCAAGCCCATTGGTTCCTTCTGAAGACGTAGATCTTTAACAACAACTCACACATTGGGTTTAATTTGAAAAGTCAAAGCAGTCGATGCAGTTTGAAACCAAAGACACACCGACCCCGGCTGAATAATGTTATATATTTAATAAAACTAGTCAAATATCCTCTAAAATCTGCATTGCAATACCTGATGCCAATGAATCCAGAGAGAACAGGAGAACGGTGTTACAGCGCCATCTACTGTTGGATTTCAGCACATCCAGAGTTGGTGTTTTTTATTTATTTTATTTCAACAAGTATTCAAAGTTTAGTTTTATAAAATGGTGTTAGAAGTTTAGCCATAAATATTGCTGGAAAATTATTATAATACAAATTAAAAACTAAAATGAATAGTTCCAACGATTTTCGTGTTTAAGGATTTCATATGTATTTTGACATTTTTGTAATTAAGAAATGTTTTTTTATTTCATAATAATTTTGCGAGGTTTTGCTCTGAACTAATTTATTTTAATTTGGTAAAATAATCTACATCAACGTCCTCCCAATTCACAAGTATTCTGCCTCGTGTGGTGATCAGCTATTGGGCTTGAAGCTAATAAAGATGGCCATGAACATTTCATACAATTCAATCAATTTCATAGTTAGGGGGTTTTCTCATTGATTAAGAATGATGCTTCATTTTGCTGTAAAGAATGTTGCTGATTTTTACAACAAATATATATTTTAATAACCTTGTACTATATCATAACAGTTTTGCTCCATGTTGTAACAAAGAAATGTAATTAATTTAGTAATTAAAGATATTCCTATGTATTGAGATGATTGAGATTGAGTTATCAGGAATAGTGTTTAACATTAAAGTTAATTGATTTCATAGTTAAGGATTTTTCTCATTGATTAAGAAATATTTCTTTATTTTATAAGTGTTGTGTTCAATTATCAATTTCTATAAAGAATGTTGCTTATTTTTTTACAATAAAGCATTTGTGTTTTTGAGTAAATGACCGTTCCTATATCCTGATATGTTTGCTTAAGGTCGTGTCACAAGTCATCTGCTATGTGACAAACAATAAAACTACTTTAATAATCCAGAAACCTCTTTGGATATTTCTTCATGGTTTTCTTCTTGTTGGAACATTTTCTTTACAACTTTCTTTGAATTTGCCAAATAATATTCTGTATTTATTTTTACACCCAGACACACAATGATTTTAGTGCTGGGTCTAACTTGTTTATCTTTTTGTGTTTTTATGGTAAATAATATAATAAAATAATAACTCATGACCCAGAGGAGGCTGAGCTTCATACATTACCTCCCTCCCTCCCACCCTCCAGGCCCGGTTCCAGAACAAAATGACTCATGCCCCGGCCACACGAGGACGAAAACGGCTAAACGCATAGGATTAACGCAAACGCAATCGCAAAAAAGATTCCGTCCACACGCAATAGTCATCCGGATAGTAGGCTTGTTTGAGACAAGCGAGACCTGCGCAGTTGCGATCAACGTCTTGCTAGTGCATTGCATGATGGTTAGTCATTTTGTCCGACTTGCTCTGGAGGCTCGCCTACATGAGACGTTGAAATCTCGCGGGACAAAGACGCCCGCAGCCTTGAGAGCGAGGCTGCGCAGTTCCTCTCCATGGGCTGCGGAAGCGAAATGCTTGATGGGAAACGACTCGCTGATATCTCAAGTTGAGCGCTCATTGGTGGTTTTTACCACGTGCTGCTGATGAAACTCTCCAATTGGCTCGGCAAAAGTTTGTTGTTGTTTTGTGTCAGTTTTACGTCGCCATTCACATTTTTCATCATTGTTCCACAATGTTTATCATCATGACATTAATATCCATATATTTTATACTATACTTGCACTGCTTACCGTTTCATACTTTATATATCTTAGCATATTCATACACACTGTTCATACTGCTCTCAGGCTGCTGTGTATATATAGTGTATTCATACCCCTCACTGTTTATTCATCATTCAATTCATTCTATATTTTATTCTGTCTATTTTGTACATTACTTTTCACTTTACTGCTTGTTGCACCTGGTTAGAAGCTAAACTGCATTTCGTTGTCTCAGTACCTGTAATATGTGCAATAACAATAAAGTTGAATCTAATCTTGAGCAGGAACAAATGTATTTACTTAGTACATATCTGACATTAACGATTAAACACATGTGTGCATTCTTTATAAATGCAAACCGAGTCAAGCCGACTCCGGAGGTGGCGGTATGCACCTTCAAGCTGTTTGCAATCCGCCCAAAAACGGAGAGAAGAAGAAGAAGAAGAAGAAGAAGAAGAAGAAGAAGAAGAAGCCGAAGCCGAAGCCGACTCCGAGCTGTCCGACTTCAGGCGAGCTTTTTGAGACCTCCCCCGGCTGCGATCGGCTATTCTCGTCTACTTTCGAGGCGAGCCCCAACACGTCTCAAACAAGCCTGCTGTCTGTCCACACGAGACAGCTCCGTTTAGCTCCAACCGCTGGAGAAGCTGCAGTACATATGCAGGAGCCTGTACGTGGCGCTGTAACTTCCTCCACAAAAGCAGCGAAGAAGCATGGTTGTCATGGTTGCTCTTCTGTTTATTCTCCGCGGTGGGGGCCGAGGGAACCGGGCAGAGTTTTTCGCCAGTCAACGTGTATTAAAGTTTAAATCTTCCGACAAAATTATAAAAGTGCCGGTCAAAGGTCTTCTTTGTTATTTATTGAGCTTTAAAACAAATGAATAACGAATCTATATATTATAATAATAATAAAATACACGGAGCCTCTCTTTTTCCTCCCTCTCTTCGGACAGCGCCAGTGTCTGTTTCATGCAGCAGCTGATCCAGTAATGAGTGACCCTGCCGACAGTAAAAATAAACATATTTATATCTAGTTTAGGTAGTTTGAGAGGTAATTAAAATAGCTAAGGGGGATGATCTGACTTGAAATGTGTGTTTTACTCCGTTCACCGCCGCATCACAGCGGGAGGAGCTGCAGGTGAGCAGAGCTGCCGCTTAGACTTCACTCGCGTTTAGGTCCATATCGAGAGAAAGACAAATAATCTGAATTCAGTGTGCAGTTTACTTTGACGCGGGGGTGAGCAGCAGAGGTGGGGAGAGGCGGGGCTATTGCCTCATCATTATCAGAAAATGATCGTATAGGGCGTAGCCTACACACGGAGCCGTTGGACCCCCCAGAGCGTTGCGTATGCCGTTCTATCCACCTTGGGACCCGTTATCGTTTACGCAGTCGTTTAGTGCCGTATTCGGTCGTCCTCGTGTGGCCTAACGGTCTATATGACATGTCTATGTTTTTTTTTTTTAATATTGAAGTTAAAGCATCGATCTGGTGCACTTTGAGAGCAACATTAAGAGATCTATGTATACATCTCTCAACACCCATATGAAACACAACTGCAAGCAGATTTTCTTTTTCTTTATGGATATTTTACAAATCACTCCCCTTTCAAACTGTATTCTTATTTTACCGTCATATAGTATTTCATTGTTAGTGAGTTACTCAGATGAGTACCAGGAGACAGCGTTTGGTACTCTGGTACAGTTGTGGTGAAGGCACCTGAGTTAGATGTATTTGCAACACATCCTCACTCCCAGGTCGGCCTATGTTGACGTTATGTCAAGTCCTGTGTCGGCTTTTTCCAACGCAAGGGGGGGGGGGCTTAGCGTCCATTTTCAACGCAAGAGGGGGGCCCTTAGCGTCCATTTTCAGCCTTCCG